ACTCACGGTTTTTCAGCATTTTTGTAATAAAGACATTATTCTCTATCCAATAATCCGCCCAAAACAGGAACATTTCTACTAATTCTTGTGTTTTTTCACGTTTTTCGAAAAACCTGCGATTAGGCTGCGAAAGTAGAACATTCCACAACTTCTCTTTATCATATACACCCAGCGACACCGATGCCAGCTGACTGTGGCCTGAATGGGTATGCTTCGTTTCGACAATGAGCTGTTATTTCTGTGAACAATTATTCTTTGAATGCTCAGTTTATTTTTTGAAAACAACTAATTGTTTGATTTTTAAAAAAAATCATGCCATTTTCCCTGTCAAAATCAAAGCATAAAGATCTTGCTACAACATCGGTGAATCTCTACCGCGTTGCGTTCACCACGCGGTCACTGAACTGTCATTAACATATTTAAATGAGCCACGTGTATTGAAAACATGGGGGATATCGTATCACATCGAGCATTTACGTTCGACCGAAATCATTCGTTTACGATGAAACTAAGTTGAATATTACTTCCAATTCATAAAAATTCAACGAATTACATTTTTGTGCATTATTATAATCATTACTGAATAATTATCAACAATTTCAATACTTCGAAAACAAGTAAGTTATTCACTTGCGAAACACAGAATGACCGGATTGTGCGACCGTGATCATTTGCTACCAGTACGGTACTAATCACTAAGCAATGTATTTGTGTTTGTATTTATTCAAAACTTATTTTAGAACATACTTTAACATAAATAATGCATATTACATTATGTGAATTTTTTTTGGGGGGGGGGGGATTCAATTCCAACATTTCGCGATGCCTATGAACCAAAGGCCTTTCACTCTTCTCTGAGTGTGACACCTAAACCAGAGGTTTTATGGTGTATAAACTGGCACTAAATGAAAAGGCTGTTAAACCTTATTCAAATTTATAAGTACATACATGTTATTATGTATTTCATTATGAAAACTGACTAAATTAAATGTGATCTTATTTTTAATTGTTTGAACAGAATGATTTATATCAGTAATGACGTTTTCATTCAATATTAATTGTGCAATTGTTAAAATGCCTACCTACACATTTATTGTTTTTGTTTGTGTTGCCCTGAAATAGACATTTGTAAAAAAAAAAATTCAAAAATCATTCAAAAAAAAAAAAAGATGTAGCCATGTAGCCCCTTTCTGTTATCTGTTTCCAATGTCTTCCAAAGTAAAACTGGCGAAGGCATGTAATTGCCATACAATCAACAACTGTGGGAAAACTTGTCTGTTATTGAAAATCTATATTTTGTTGTCTGTGAATTAATATAATATTTGAAATGGCGTAATGGTGCAAAATATTCTCTAACAATCGGTCTTTTGGTGGCACTACACTGCGCATTTATGCACAGTCAGTATCCCAATGCACGATCTCAGCTTACTAAGTGATGATGGTGGTTGAAATGGAAAACTGAATACAAAAATCCAGTAACATCTCAAACGAATTTCCGTCTGCTGTGAATGCATGTTTCTTTACATCAAATAAATAACCCAATTTTATGATAGAAGTTTGCGATCTTGTGCCATACAGGGTCAAGTGATTGAGCAATAAAAAATGAGGTTTTATGTATCAGGTCATTGAATGTATCCAAAAACATGGTACCAATGATCTGAAATTTCAGGAGTCCTCGCTGAAATTTTATCAATCTTGCGTATTGTCTTGTACTTTTCCAATCCTGCATTTCAGTTACTAGAATTTATACTAAAAAAAATAGTTTCTGTTTTTCTTCTAATAATTCGTCCACTCTCAAAAACAAATATTTTTCCATGGTCGAAATGCAAGAAGAATACAAAACTACTGTGATTGCATAGCGATACCTGTAGGGCCATTGTCAATTAGTTCGCCTGATCAACACAGCGTTTACATACATAGGGCTGATATTGAATCACGGAGAGTAAAATCTTGTGATACTAATCTCTAGAACCACTCAGATTGGTACATATGTCTTATGAACCCACATGTGTATATCTTTAACAATACTCATTTTAAACTTTTTTTTTTTTTTTTCACAGTGGTGCTGTGAACTGCTTCAATTTCGCAAGGCAATTTTTTCTGGGTTCCTACAACATGGAGTGTCAGGGACTTTATTGAAATTTCGTAGAATCCTGAATATATCTAGAAGTGAAAATTAAATGGTTTACAGTATTTTATACCCATTAATAATGATTGAAATGCAATAATATCACTGCACTAAAAAGACTTCAAACAATTATTGTTACTTCTCCATTGAAGGTTATGAGCAGACCAACCTTTACTGGCTTCCTTAATTATTACATGTACTTGCTCTGAAAACATAGCTTTTACAATTGTTTAAATTAACAGATGTTGTTCTATGTACAATGAATACATTTTAAATAATAAACCTTACTGTATTAATAACACATTGTATTTGACAACATGAGAATGATTCTGATGCCCAGTGGTGATGTTGAAACAAAACCAGGTTCTGGTAATATACTAAGACCTGATTACCGGGGTAACAAAGAAGTCATGTACATCAAGGTTCACTCAGTTTTATGAATGCAGTTTCTTGAGTATACATGTATGACAAATAGTTTTGTTGCACTTGTGTACTCTGAGATTCTGAACATGGGTCAGTGGAAGTTTTTAGTTGTCTGTACAAAACTAGATTATGGGAAATCACTTTATGATGACTTGTACCCACAAAGAGTGCATATTTATTCACCTGTTTGCAGATGTTCCTTGTACTACTTTATAATCAAATAACAAGGACTGTGACATTTCATGTCTTGTTTCCTGTAACCTGTACCAGCTATCCCCCCTTGCCCCCTTCTGTATTATTCTGACATTTAAATTCGCTCCATGACGCATATGGAAGTTATTTAATATAATCAATGATTTTCTATATTTTGTTTTAGCCAATCTTCTGTCAACTTCATCATTACTAGTATTTATATCAGTCATCATCTTATTAGGCAAAGGATACACAATTACCAGGTAAGGCACATCATAATTACAATAAACATGTCTCAAACTAAATCATATAATGTCATTAATAGTATTTCTGGTGTGCTTGGACTGATTATATATTCAAACTTGGTATCACACATGATATGTTACTAATACATATCAGTTTGCTTTGTAATTTGATTTGAGTTTGTATGTATCTTTAAATATTTTGTAAAACATATGTGCACAACATTTAGCTGACTGGGGGACATTTTAGTAATAAAATATAATTCTTGAATCCTAATATTTTAACATTTCCACAAACTAGTGTGCCCTCCACACTGTTATGATGCACCACTGATGTACTGAGATTCTTTGTTATGCAACCTGTAATGCTACTTACAGTTTCCTACTTTGATATAGTGGTCTTCAAAAACTTCCTTACTTACTTCCAAAATGTCTAAGACACTAAATTATTAATTTATTATTAAACTTTGTCATTTCCAATGGAGTTACTGAATTGTTTGAGTTATGGACATCGAATTACAAACTTTGAGTTTCGAAAACATCAAGTTACAAACATGACCACCTCAGCATATTAGAAACCATGCATACTTTTAAAAACCAACATAGATTTTTTATTTTGTAACATTGTATGTTTCCCATTACTCAGTTAACCATTAATTGAACATCAAGTTACAATTTAGGCGTAGTTTCCCAAAAGTGGACTTTTTTGTAACTTGAACAGTTCAGCATCTCCTTCCAATGACTTGTAATATCCCAGTTATCTCAGAAATGACTACTAGACCAATCACATTCAAACTAACCACATCATGTCTCATGAATTAATGAACATTATGCCAAAACATGACATTCCAAGTCCGTTTTCATTTTTCCAGGATTCAAGGTAGCAGACAGGCACAAATTTTCATAGTTAATACTTCTGCTATTATTACACAAGCAGATCTAACATGCAATTTCCATACAATTTGATTTCACTTTATTGTTTCACAATAATGACTTGTTTTCAATAATTTGTTATCAGAGGTACAATAAGCCAGTCTGGTGCTATCAAGATCACCATCTATATGTCTCTATTCACATTCACGTATGGAATCTTATACATATATGAAGAGTCAGTGTTTGATGAAAGAGATGTGCTATATAAATATGAATCACCCGCTGGTTATGGTATTGTAGCACTTCATTTTATTGGTAAGTCACCGATGATCCATGTCAGATCACTGCTATATATATAGTATCTGATTATTATATTAATAATAATATCTTTGCATACTTATATAATTTTTCTATCAGTTTATAGCAATATGAATATAAATGAATAGATTAACAGGATGTCAATTTTCTAAATCAAAAGAATATTCATTTCCTATGAAGTGTTAATAAAATCCTTCAATAGCTGTATTGTATTTTTGTCACTACTTTGCATTAAATAAATTTGAAAAAGAATCTTCTTTAGGTGGGTTTAATATTTCAGATATTCCAAAAGGTGAATTATATTTTATGTCACGCAAACAACAATGTCTGCAAATTATATTTTCTTAACAGTTGGGGTGTTTTCAGCTTTTAGAAATTAATTCTTTGTTTTGAATTTAACACATTCAAGTACTCTTCAAAATTGTATTTTAACTTTTAACTTTGTATAACTTTGTGTATGCTCAAATTTGTTGTTGTTGTCTCTGTCGTAAAAATTGTTCTTGTTGTTACAATGACTCAAAGCTTTTTAATCAACTCTTATTAAAACATTTACGTTACATATTAACCAGTTTGGGATCTTGGCCAAATTTTGTATGTGTTAATTATATTTGGTAAATTTCACTTAAAATTGTTTTCTTTTTGTGTTTACAATAACTCAAACAATTTTCATCTGATTATTTCAAATTTGAGAGTCTTATCGATGTCAACTGAAATGTAAACTAAACTAGTTCAATTTTAGTTTGACTAGTAA